GGTCAACATGGTGAAAACCAAGTCTACTAAAAATACATACAATTGGGTGTGTTGGCATGCACCAGCAATCCCAATTACTTGGGAGGCTGAAGCAGGAGAATTGCTTGAACTCAGGAGGTGGAGGTAGCAGTGAGCTGAGATTGTGCCACTGCACTGTGCCAATGCACTCCAGCCTGGGTGACAGAGCAAGACTCCACACCCCCGGCCCCCCCAAAAAAAGCAAGCAAGCAAGTGCAAGTAAGACTTTGTATCTTTCATTAGATGTCAAACAGTGAATGTCTCTTCCCAGACAGTTTAGATAATTTACATATATTCTTTTTCTGGTTAGCCTTACAGATTAAAAAATGGTGGCCTTTTAAGTTTTAAGTTGAGTGACTTATCAAAAATACTTTAAGACTTGAAGAGCACCAGTCTAGAAGTTAGAGATAAAATATTAGAATACGGCAGTAAACAGTCCAGCCTATGAACTAGAACTAGATTGACTGTGTTCAAATCTCAGCTTAGCCACCTACTAGTATGAGACTTAGGTTAAGATATATAAGTCCTTGTATCTCATTTCTCTTATTTTTAAAATGGTGATAACAATAATGTTTATAAGATGTTGTGGGGATTAAGTCAATAAATATATGTGAAGTGCTTAAAAAAAAGTATGGCACAGGCAAACACTCCATAGAGTGTTACCTATCATCATTTTTACGTGAGTGCGGGACCTGCTATCCAATGACATCAGTAGTCTCCCACTGTGACATAAAAAGATCACATACGAAGAAATGCTTAATAAATAATTCATTCATTCAATCAAGTATTTTTGAGAGCCTAAATTCTAGATTCTAGGGATACAGCCAAGGAGGACAAGATGAATTTCTCAGTTTTAAGGGACTTTCATCTGAATGAAGTAAACTGGCAATAAACAAGAGCAGCATACACATATATACATATGTTAAGCATTAATACCTACTTTGAAGAAAAAGCAGGCTAAAGGGATAGAGACTAATAAGGAATAATAATGGGCAAGCTGCTATAGATGGGGGGGATTTATACTCTTTTGAGGAGGTGATATTTGAGCAGTGATATGAATGAAATGAGAGTGAATGCTGGGAAAATTAACAGGAAAAGAATTCTAGAAAGTGGGAACAGCAGAATAAAGGCCAGGAGGCAGAACTGAATTCAGGGGTTCAAGAGTAAACAGAAGGCCCATCGTGGCATGAAGTAAGATCTAGTATTTGAAGCTGAGGTAGAAGTAGTCAAATAATTTTGGATTAATAATAGACACATTTAATGACTCAACCAAAATGATGAGACGTCTGTAAACAAGATTATAAGATGTTGAGTGGGACTTTTTTTGTTGCCCATAATTGAAAATAAGACGAGCTAAGCAACCCCTTTTCTATGAGAAACTCGAAATAGATGCCAAATATTGAGGCCAGACACTGTCCCCATCTACCAAAGGGTATGCTATGAGGTGAAAAAAAATGCTCTCCTACCAGCAACTAGCACCCAGCTCTGAATATGCATAAAGAGAATAACTAGAGAGTGAATCAGTGCAAGTCAGCAGACAGTGCTCACAGGGAAAGGTTACTCCTCTTCCCAAGCGGAACAGAAGGATTATTATTTTTTTCTTTCTGAAGCCAAATAATGTTAGTCCATCAGAGATTGTGTGCGAGTTTGTGGGAAGGAAGATTAGCAATTCATTTCTCATCTGGCTGGATGGTAATTTACTAAACACACCGGCCCATCTAGAGCTACTATGGCAGAGCAGGGGCGAATGTCTCCGTGGAGTTGTGTATTTGGTATCTGAAGGTTAGGAGCCACCCGTGAATCCAAAACAGCTGTTAGTCTTAAGATTTCTGAAGGAGAGGAAATTGCTGCAGTAGCTTATGGTAACAGAGTTAGAAGGAACTGTGGTTTAGAGTTTGTTCCTGATAGGGGTTAAATTCCCTCCTTTATCCCCATCCTGGTCTTCTGTGGCCCTTGGAGCATTTAGAAGATGGTGTCAGAGGTTATTGTGGTTCAATGCAAAGCAGCATGGTGGTAAGGAAGGGAGCAGAATAACTGGTAGTGAGGAGACACTCCACCTGGGGAAGCAGTTAGGGGCATGGTCTAGTGTCAGGGTCCAGGCTTTTCTTTGAGGGATTCCTCAATGAGTGAGAGGGCAAAGCAAAGATGAAGTGTCTATAGAAAACCAAGCACATCACCAGCACAGATTTCTCAATACCACCATCTGTTAGCAATAGACAAAACTGGATTGAACCAGAGAAAAACCTAGGACACTTTCTCATACAGACATATAACTGATTATGTAAGATCTCTACCACCCTTGTCTTCTCTCTTTGACCCCAAAACTAGAGTAGCTCAGCAGCGGGGAGTGAGGATGGTTGTCTCAGAGTCAGACCTCCTTCCAACTTCTCTACTCCAAACAGACGGCCTCACAGTTTGTGTTGAGGGGAAAGAAAGGTAATCATATTTATGTCAGTTTCACAATCCAAGTTTTAAATTGGACAAATAAACTTCAAATAACTGAAACTGGTAGAAAGTTAGAAGACATGCTAGGGTTTCATTAAAGGACATGAGAACAAGATTTGACAATCATGAATGGAAGCCTTGACAAGAATACAAAATATAACTATTTTGTGTTTATGCTCTTGTTGAGACACATTACATGAGTAACCAAACAATAAAACATAACACTATAAGCCACAGCAAATCTATGGAGGAATGAAAATGCACTAATCTAAAATTATAATTTCATGGGACATTTTTCTTTAATGTAAAATTTCATCTGGCTTCTCAGTTTTGATAAAGTAGAGGTTCTATCAATTGCTTCTTTGTTATAATAAAGTGAGTCAATCTTCCTTCCATCAGCAACATATAATACAAATTCTTCAGGCCCTTGCCAGGAATAGAAACTCATATCATCTCCTTTCTGTTCTAAAAAGTTCTTCTGAGAGAAGTAATATTTAAGAAAGTTTATCTAAGGAACATTGTATCCTTTTTTAAGTATTTTGAATTCTGCCTTTGGATCAAGCTAGACCACTGGAATTATATGCACCTGACCAAAAAAATATATCTCCTTTAAAAATCTGTCACCAACTTTAACTTCAAAGTTTTATTCTCAGGCTTCTTTGATTATCATAAGAAAGTTTATAAAATTCTCTTCTATTTGTTGGTAAAAATATTGCTGATATTATTTAATGCATTGCTCAGTGTCATCTCCATATGAGAAATTTCTCCAACTTAGTGGCAGGAAAAATCCTCTCTTGATTTGTTTCTTTCTTTTAAATAATGAGAATTGTGAAACTTCCTAAGTTTTCCTTGTTATTCTTGCTATCAGCAAGTTCAAAGCCAAATTTGCAGCTCCATCAGAGCGAGTATCTTAAACAATATGTACAATGTATTGCACTTGTGGTTTTTTTTGAATTTGATTCTTATTTTATCAGTATATTTTATATTTTAGGGGAGTGTCTATTTGTAAAGAAATGGAGTATGGGTAAATAAATTTGGTTCATGTGCTAGGAAAAGTTGGTTCAGATGACTGAAACTTGATCTCCTAACATGAAATTGATTAATCTTTGAGGTGTTTTTCAAAGACTACTTGAAAAAAAAAAAGAGACTTAAAATGTTCCCCAAAATGTTAAGTGTTATCTTTATTCATTAGTTTAATAACATTAACCAGGCTATACTGTATATTCCAATAAATTGAACAATAATAGGTTTATTTTGACATTATTACTGTCAGTTAATTCTAAAAATCTTATCTCTGGTTTTTATTATATGGACCATTATATATTGAAAAGCTTAGCAGATCCTCACATCAATTCCCAGAAAAATTATTTCCAGCATTGTGAAGACACTTATATCAGTTGTAGAACATCTTACAGAAGAATAGGGAAGAGAGGTAATATTTTGGGTAAGAATGTAGCACAAGGAAAAGGAGAGTCAGTGACAAAGTAGTGACAGCTTGTCTCTAAATGCGAATTAATTATATTGATCCTCTTTGTTTTCTCAGCTTAAACAAAATAAAGTGCATGGGTACCTTCAAAACAACACATGATAGAAGGGAATGGATTCACCAATGACAATAGCTGTGTTTACTTAGACACCTAGTTAATTCATTAATTTAACAATATTGGCCAGTCTGTAATGTACATCCCAATAAACTGACCAATAAAAGGATTGCCTTAGCATTATGGAAATATAACCAAAGTATAGGTTTAAGGGCTTTCATAAATCAATCAGATTATTTTTATACATAGGCATTTATATATTATCAGGTATAAAAGAAATTTGTACGAGCTAGCAGATATTCAAACAATGATAAAAATCATCTATGACTAGCCACCTGGGAACTATACTTCTGTAGTTTAAGGCCATAAAATGCCTCATGGCTTTGACTTTGCTAAGTGTAAAAAGGGCTGTAGAATAATTTGTTGACTGATAAAAATGTTTGTGGTCACATTGCTATTTTACTTATTATGCAATGTAAGATATCTACTGTGGATTTCTAAGAGACTAAAGTCCACAAATGTATTTCTCCTGACTATTGCTGACATTGCACAAAATGGCACAGGCAACACAGACCAACACACAAAAAGAAGAGTAACTCTTTGAAAACATTTTCTTCAAACTGTAGTTTAGGACAAAAGTATTGCAGAATAAAATTTACGGTTTTAGAAAAAACAGCAAAAAAAAATTTGAATGAAAGACAAACTTTGGCTTTTTCGAACTTTTGGAAGACAAAATTATGACTCCAATGTTTCATTCCTTCTTTCCTTGCCATTCAAATTTCTACTAAAGTGTAAGATATATCACAAAATTTGATGACATACACTCCAATGCCCATTGAGCAGACTGAACAAAGGCCATTAATATAGCAAGGAAGACGTATTTTTAATATCTTTAGTCTGACATTCACTTATCATTTATTTACCTATGCTTAACATCTTAATTTTCTACAAATTGTAACTTATACTCACAGAGTTTAAAAAAAAATTCATGAGAGCTCTCCGCCAGACCGCCGCCGCGCCGCCATCATGGACACCAGCCGCGTGCAGCCTATCAAGCTGGCCAGGGTCACTAAGGTCCTGGGCAGGACCGGCTCTCAGGGACAGTGCACGCAAGTGCGCGTGGAATTCATGGACTACACGAGCCGCTCCATCATCCGCAATGTAAAAGGCCCTGTGCGCGAGGGCGACGTGCTCACCCTCTTGGAGTCAGAGCGAGAAGCCCGGAGGTTGCGCTGAGCTTGCCTGCTCGCTGGGTCTTGGATGTTGGGTTCGACCCCTTGGCGGATGGGATTGGTGTGTCACAATCTGCTCCTTTATTTTTTGCCCGCCACGCAGAATTGAGATGCTCCTTTAAATAAAGCGTTTGTGTTTCAAGTTAAAAAAAAAAAAAAAAATTCATGAGAGCCCTCTCATTTTCTGCAGCTACAATTCTAGGTTATACACAAACCTAAGTGTACAGGTCCATAGGGCTATATAAAGAATTTATTTGAATTTGAAATTTTGATTTTGTGAAAGACAAAAACGTCTTGAGATTTTGTTAAAATAAGTCTGGTAAATCTTGGCCCAAAGTTACACTAAGAAGGAATCTGTTTTCCTTTGAAAACAAGAGTATAATCAGTATTTTCATAAAATGGAAGTATAAAATAGAATACAGTATTATTAAACCATATTAACCTTTCATTGGCAGAGATTTCACTTTGATAAAGGCTGTATAAGTACAGCTTAATCTCATAACCCAGAAGTTTTTACTGTAATTTTTGCCTCTTTATTTTTGGCTAAATTGTAATTTTTAAATGAGTATACCGAAACCCAATACTATATATTGAATGACTTTAAGTGAATAAATATCCATGCTATTCTCAGGGTAAGTGATCTAGTGATCAGGATAAAAAGGATATATGTTGTTAGACCCTAGCATAGTATGCCCCAGGACAGAGGTTTCTTGGGTTACTGCTGGTGAGTGATTCCAATTGTTAGCAGTCTGATCCCACACATTACATAAATTCCAACTCCTGCATCTTGTTTAGGTGAGCTGCTGGCTAAATGGATGTGTAGTGAAATTAAACAATATTTATTTATTTTTTAAGGTGATTTTTAGAATGGGTTATACCCCCTCTTTTTCTCCTCCTTTCTTTGCACCGCGCCCTCTACTCATCCTTTCTATGCATATTTTTGAGAGCCTGAATATGCTAGGAACAGGGTTTCAGTCTGTTAAGAATTCCCAACCTTGTGGAGTTGAGATACAATTAATAAAAAATTCTAGTATAATGAGGTAAATATTACGATACCATGAAAGCAGAGAGGAGAAACATCTACTCTGTTTTATGAGGATTAGAGAAGGCAATTTAGAGATTATGCCTAACACAGACATGCAGATATTTGCATAGTATGTGAGCACACATTAAAAAAAAATGTTATTTACGTCCCAGAAATAAGACAGTAGGGACTCAGTGTGAGCTGATATGTCTGTCTCCACTATAATAAAAGAAATAGAATGTCTCAAGTGTGGGTTGACATTTGCAAACTAACTACTTTTTCTAGAAGAATGATGCCACATAATTTAAAAATATTAATGCTTTTCTAATCTCTAATGCATTTTCAATGGCTAACATAGTTAAAACCAAAGGGAAACTTTTATTATGTACATAATCAAATTCAAAATGTGTCAGGCTAGTTTAAAAAATATGAATGTCAGTCCTGGCTTGGCAGTTTAATAACTTTGGTTTTTGACCAAGTCATTTAACTTAATTAAACCTCAGTTTATTCTCTGGAAACAAGACAAGGTCAAGCAAGATAGTTTTAAAATTTCTTTCCAAATTTATACATCTGACTTTTCTAAAAAATATGGTTTACACTAATACTTAAAAGAAATTATCTTAAGACAATAGTTTTTAAGTTCCCACTCCTAGGAAGTGCTTATAAATTATTTTTTGCTCTTGCTCCCTGTAAAATTTGTCCTTGTTCTGCTAGTCACATATAGTCCCCACTACACCAGCCAAGACTCGTCAGACTGGTTCTGTTGAGATCATCAGTGACTTATTTCCTCACTTCAATTCAGCCCACAAAGTCATTGATAGAGCTGGATGCACACACTTGGATATAGACCTCAGTCTTCACAGGAGTCTTCATTGCTGGTCAGCAATGTATCGGTGAGTTCCCTTTTTCTTTCTAGAAGTCTTAAGGTAACTTTTAGTTTAAAACGGCATGAGCCACACCAAGGAATGTGTAGATCTACAATTTATTATTTTTTTAAATGTAGAAACATATTTTTGAGATTTTACGTAAAATTATGTCAAGAAAAAGATTTCTGTTCTTTCTGTATTATTGTTTCCTGTCCTCTTGTTTTGTATCCCACAGTGTTTTTCTGTATACTTTTAGAAGGGTTTTACACAATGTAAAGGTACATGGTGTTTGACAACTGTCTTTTAGTTAGTTTGCCTATATGTTTCAAGGAAGATATAACATATTTTTAGCTTGGGCTTTGTTTGTCTTATTGAGAAATACTTGTATTTTAGAAGGTGTACATGAAAAAAAGTCTAAAATAATGCAGATAAAAACGTTTATTTTGTAAGTAGTTAAAAATTTAAAAATTCCAGATATTTTGAAAGAATCAGAAACAACTGAAGAAAATAATATGACTAAATTGTTATAGCCTGATTTAAAAAATAAATCCACTGATATGCCTGGCCATAGTCAACTTCTCCAAAGATAAGTCTTGATCATTTTGAGGTTTTCTTTCAAAGTTAGAAACTAATCAGTAACAAGGTTTTGGGGGTACTAGTTTTGTCTTTGAAAATAATTTTATCTTCTGATTAAAACTTATTTACCTGATTCACATATTGGCATATCAGTTTTTATTAGTTTTTACTTTGAGAAGAGTTTGAACATGTTAAACTGTGAATGAAATCTGTGGTCTTCATTTAACATGGAAAAACAGGTTCTGTCATCAGTTGAAAGTTCTACATACTTTCAACTTATTAGAAGTTATTAGAAGCTAGAAGCTTAATACTCTTCTGTACATGTCCGTGAAGCAACTAAAAGCTACAGATACTAAAACTTTTGTCGAGCTTATCAAGGCTCCTGCCTTTTGCAAGTATTTGTTTACAACCAATGATGGTTTTGTGTTTTATTCTCTTTTTCTCATTAACTTTACTATAAAAAAGAGTGCTTCAAGAAAGCTTCCAATAAACTTAACATATTAAATAGATTCCAAACGTTATCTATGGTATATGTCAGTGATTTGGAATTTGGTTATAAATGTGTAGAGGAGGTATAATGTGGGAATACTGGAGTGAATTTTTCTGAGTGTAGTCTCTAATTTGAAGCAAAAGATGTACCTATTTTTAAAAATCCTGCTGCAGAATAGATGCAAGTAATCTCTCAAGGAAAAAACCAAAAAGCAAAACCAACCAACCAACAAACGAAAACATCTTCCTGATCTGAAGACTGTATAAAAGATGAAGCACATCTATGTTTGAGTGGGTCTAGATGAGATAAAAAGTTAAGAGCATGTACTAGAGCGACAAAGGATTAAGTCTATCATTCACGTTTGCTGTCGTAAATGTGCCAACAGGAGTGTTGTCGAGAAAGATGGATAATTGAAATCCTAGGACATTAGTAGACAATTTCTTTTAAAGGTCATTGGTTTTAACTCAGAAAGAATGTAAGAAACAGGTGGGAAATTTTATTAAATAGCATGCTCCTTCCTTTTCAGTCGGATTTCGGATAGCCTCCTTGACTCTACCTGAATAATAATCAGGGTTTTTTTTTTTGTTTGTTTTTTTATTTTTTTAGAATTTAAAGGTAGGAAAATATTTAAACTGGGTAAACATTATTCTTCTTGTACTTCCATTTTCTCCAAACTCTTATTTTGGACTATTCTTTGAGCATGAAGAGATAAACATGGGAATTTTATAAACACACAACAGAAAGTTAAAGAACATTTTATCAGGCATAAGTTTATAGAAAAGAGATTTGGGAAGAGAAGAAAGTATCCATTAAATATACTTATTGTTGATAGGGGTGTATGCTAACTATATTTATCAGCAACCACTGAGAAGAATTAAAAATAGGCTGAATTTATAGGCATCGACATCCACACATATTGAGATGGATGAAGGTGAAATGAGTAATATTCAAATGAGGCAAAATGGACAACTTTAATTTTTACTTAATAGGGTAAGCACTGTCTCTCAAAGTCTGGTCCATAGAGCCCTGCCTTACAGTGCTTATTAAAAATAGGAAAGTCCAACTCTAATCCCAGAAATTCTAATGAATCTCTGGTTGAGACGTGGAAATCATATTTAAAATATTTACACAATATAATTCTTATTTACCCTAAAGTTTGACAAGCACTAATAGTATAAAGACATAGAAAAAGAAAAAGAAACCTGTAAGCCTGAAAGAAATTAAACCATACATGAAATAGGCCAGTTGTTAAAAGTAGTTCTTTGTTTTATTTAAATTGGTGTAATTACATCTTAATGGGAGGTGCTTTCTCCCAGTCACCTTTCCCTTCAAGGGAGACGAGTACTCATTTATGCAACATGGTGATGATTAAGAAAGAGAGGATAATTTCAGCAAGGATGGGAAACTGAGTGGGGAGAACATAGACATTTTGGTTAGTTTGTGTCTAATAAGGAGGATGACTTTATTTGGATCATAAAAATCTATTTGTTTACAGGAAAAAACCTTGGTATAAAATTAATCTAGCAGTATCATCCTGTGACATTAGTCAGTAGGGATACTGAAGGGACGGACACTCCTTTGAGGCTTAGGCCCAGAGTTGCTATATGATTGTGTTATGAGTATTTAACATGTGCTCATACTTCTCCTTCAACTAGAATCAGCCCTGATCTATATAACAAATTCTAGTAAGTTCTCATTGCATACTAAGTCCTGTGTGGAAGAAAATTATCTGTTCAGCACCTGCTATATATTGTATATTTTATAAAATGTGATTTCATTAAATTTTGGTAATGTTTTGAGAAGTGGTTATTGCTTTCATTCCTTTTAAAAGATGAAGTACCTGTGATTGTCTAGGCTGTTAGTAAGTAACCCTAATCTTTCTGATTTTAAAATCTATACTTTTTCCCTATAACATATTGTCTACCATGTGTAGGAAGCTAAAAGTAGAATCTTTGGAAAGTTTACAGAGAAAATAGATGGCAACAGAGGAATAGAAAATAAACCCACACATATCCACACATGGAGAAAATGTTGGTGCATAGATTTAAAAAACCAGAAGATGTAAAGACTAATATGAAATCATGCACATTTATGCTGAGGGAAGAAGTGTGGAGGTATAATTTTACTTTCATTTATAAGTTTTAAAAACATTTTAAAAAATATGCTGCCTGCCCTTATACAACCGACTTTGTATTTAAACTAAATA